TAAGATACGAGGTGAGTCTTGATGATTAGAACTTCGAGTTGCTGTAGCTTGATGATACTATGGAAACTGATGGTGGGTGTCTAGCGACGCGAACCCGACGAATCTCAGATCGTAAATCCCGAGACGAAGACGATACTCGAGCTCGCGGACGTGATTCCGACAGCGATGATGAAGACGACCATAGCTCATCCCAGCTGCGACTCGAACCACCACCACGAGACCCCAGACGATGACGAACGTGAACCGTAACGCACACATCCTTCATTTACTCACTTGACCTAGTTTCTACAATATCCCACTCTCTTCTTGCAACCACTCTTCGCAGAGCCATGCTTTTGTCTGATTTCCTCGCATTTAATGATTTGTTTGTTGACATGAATACCAACTTACTAAATGAAGAAGAAAAAAAAAAGGAAAAAAAATTTAGTTTCTTGCTTTGTTTTGTGACGAATACTTAGCCATTCATTGAGAGGTGAGAATTTGGATTTCCTTGCTATAGATTACTTGGTACGGGCTGATTGTGAGTCTATCAAGTAATCTATGCTTATGCTACTGACTTAAGAAATGATGGACGTTACTACTTGTTTGCTTGAGGTTGCTAGATTGTTGAATTCAAGAAAACTATCTTGGTGCCTTTTGAATTTGACGGGCGATTCTACCCTATTGAATGACTGACTGACGATCCTTTCAAAAACGTGGAGTTATTTCCCTCTTCTCGTTCAAATAGCTGTTTGGTGACATCGGCGTTTGATGCTTTCGATAAGCGGGATGTGGGGCGGCTGTTGTTACTAAGCGGCGGCAAGTTAAATTTAACCGCGGAAGACAACGTCAACAAAGAACATCCCCGTATAATAGCTATGGTATTTCGTAGTTACGCAATGAAACAAAGTTATATAGGCATAGGTGGATGTAGTTGGCAGTAGTAGTTCTATGGCTAAGTAATTGAAGTTTTCCGTTATGTCGGTTCTTTCAGCGTGTCATTGTTAGTGTCCCATATCACAGGTCCAGGGGCACGGCACATTCTTACCAAGTTGTTCATACTACTAAATATCAAGCCCCTAAACCACTCTCTTAGTATAAGTACTCCCGTAAAGAGTACCCTCCCAACGCTATATGTATAACCGTTGAGATCAACACCCATCAGGCCCATGCACGAACCCACCCAGCCGATCAACAAACATTACATCATACTCCGGGCCCCTCGAAGCCAAGTATAAAATATGTATATATCTAGATTAAATCTCGATCCCAAGCTCTAGCGGCCGATCGAATCATAAGCTACCTCAAGTAAGCTACTCCAGAACGAACTATATATACATGCAAGAGCGATCACCAAAACAAGCTTCCAATACAACAACACAACAGGCTGGCTGGCGTTACAAAAGCAATAAGAAGCGGGAAAACCCAAAAACAACGATAAAATAAAATCAACAACAAACAGAAAGCCACTCGAAAAAGTAAAAAAGAAAAGAAAAAAACAAAACGGAAGGAAACAAAAGCAACGGTGCGTCAAAGCGGAAAAAAAAGTATATGTAAGTGGGCTCTGCGCGAAAAAAGAAAAAAGGGCGCAAAGCAAGGCGTGACAAGGCATGGCAGGGCATGGCATGGCAGGGCGAGGCAGGGAAGCGGGGACGGACCGCGGGGCGGAAAGTATATGCCGAGGGGTGCGTGTGTCTGGTCGAGGAGCTTATTTGAGCTGTCGTCGATGCCACTAAAGTCGATCGATCGATCGGTGGGATCGAGTGAAAAAGAAAAAGGGCGATCTGCGGATGTGAGGGGAGGAAAAAGGTAGGTAGGTGGGTAGGTAGGGAGGGAGGGAAGTAAGTAAGTAGGAAGGGGAGAAGAAGGTATTTACATAATGCATGTGTCAACGTCAATCAATAAACGGAGAAAATAAGAACAGGAAAATGGAAGAGAAGAGTGCGCTGGTGCTCGAACGGGTGAAAATGTGAGCTGGCTGAAGGGTGTATATGCCGGTATATATGGCTGAAATGGAAGGTATATAGTGGAAAAGGCGAGTCTATATCGAAGTAGATGTCGAAGTATATGTCGAAGTATATGTCGAGGTGTAGATGGTGATGAAAGTCGGTGGAGACGTCGGTTAATCGACTGTCTTGCCGCCGCAGTCGGGAATCTTGATGCCAGGCTTGAGAACGCGGGCGGGATCCATAAGACCCCATTTATCTTCCCATTCCTTGCCGGGCTCATTGAACGTGACTTTCCACGGCTCATCAAATGCCTCAAACCTGCAGTTCATTGTTAATATCCCTCAAACAAAGAAAGCAAGAAAAGGAGAGAGAGTTATAAAGGGAGAACGACATACCAGAAATAATCAGTCCCGTTACTGAGGGCCTGACACACCCAGTTCTCCATGAAGATATTCATGTCCTTGACGCTCGCTACAGACCCCGACTTGGAATCAGGACACTTGGAATCACCGCAGTTATTCCCTCCACCGCTAGGCCATCCGATTTCCGAGATGATCTGCTTCTTGTTCGTGCCCTTTGTCAACGAGACGTCGTGTTCTGTCCAGAACGACCATGCCCAGCCCGTGCCCTTGTCGGCCGTGACACCGGCGAAGAACGGATGGACGTTGGACATGACTACGTCGACTATCTTTGTGAGCGGCTGAGTCCAGGCATCGCCCAGGTCGGACGTGGCGATGGGGAGGTCGAGCTTAAGCGATGCCAGCTCGTCCTTGACGCCGGTGATGTACTTCATCAGCTGCGTGAGTGTGGAGGGATCGTTTTTGCCACGATACAGCACCTCGTTGCCGACGATGACGCCCTTGAAGACGGACTTGTCGCGGGTGTTTTCGAGGATCTTGTAGAGCTGTTTGATCTGGCGGTCGTTGGTGGTGGTGTTGGTGTCTATCCACACGCCGAGCCAGAGCTTCATCTGCTTGAGCTCGAGGCGCTCAAAGGCATGCAGGACCATCTCGGTCTGGTTGCAGTCTGTGCCGTACAGACGGACGGTGTTGGTGAGCTGCGAGAGCACGGCGATGTCGCGGGTGACGTTGTTCTGGCTGGGCGGGTACTTGAGGCAGAGCGGGTACTGGGTGCCCCAGGGAGTGTAGTCCATGCCCGGGAAGACCTTGTGCAGGTCCTTGCTCTGCAGGGCCTTGATCTCCTTTGAGTCCTTGCCGAGATCTCCCTTGTCGTCGTCTGTGCCGGAGCCGCTGCCGCCGGGCCTGTTGGGGTCAGCGGAAGCCTTTTGGTTGGCGAGGATACCTGCTGTGACACCGCCGGCTATGGCACCGGCGAGGACGAGGGCGACGATGATGCCGATGATCCAGAGGCGTTTCTTGCGGGATCGTTCTTCGTCAACGAAGACCTTTTTCTCTCCCGTTGCGAGGTTGTAGAGGGGAGTGTCTGGGCCGGCACCCGCTCCGTTACCGTTGCCGTTTCCGCTGCCACTGCCGCTTGCGCCGGCGGGACTGCGCGCACCCGAGCCAGGCAATGAGCCAGATGCAGCGGCTCCCGCCCCGACGCCGGGATAGAGGTTGTTGTGGCTTGAGTTGTGGCCCATGCTGAGGAGGGAGCGTCTCTTGGGCTCGGGGATGAAGCCATCGTCTCCGTCGTCGACTATGTCGTGCGGGTTGATGGACTCTGGATGGACTGCGCCGAGGCCAGACTCGTCTCTCCTGTACGGGTCTTCATAGTGGTATCTTGCAGTGTTATCCTGGTACGCATTGTACCTGTCGTTACTATAGTTGTTGTTGCTATAGTTGTTGCTATGGTTGCTGCTATAGTTGTTGTTACTATAGTCGGTGTTGTTGTTGTTGTTGTTGTTGGTGTAGTTGGTGTGGTGGTCCTGGTAGCCACGGCTATGGGCATAACCCGCGGGATCATAGCTGCCGCCCATGGTCTCCTGGTATCCCATCTCCTCGTAGGCACGCGAGTCATGCAGGTGCCGACGGGAGTGGCCCGGGTATGCAGCGACCCCCGAGGCCAGGCCGGTCATGCCTCCGCCGGCCGCCGCATGGCCGTAGTTGTCTGCGCCGGCGGTGACGTCTGACCGGCCCGGATGCTGCGGGACGTAGTCTTCGGAGTAGTAAGGCTCGTCGTGAGGGTGATGCTGCTGCTGGCGATGCTGCGGAGGGTGAGGCTGGGGGTTGACGGGCGAGTAGTAGTTGTTTTGCGGCGGCAGCATGGCGAGGTCCTGGTCGGGGTCGGGCGAAGGGTTTCGATAAGCCGGTCGATAAGGCTGCATCTGTCTTTGTCTTTCTTTGTCTATCTCTTGTTTATATTCCTGTTTCTGTCCCCGTTCTTCTGTTCCTGTCTGTTCCTGTCCTGATCCGTTTCTATTCCTGATCCTGTTCCTGGCGGTGTTCCTGGCCCGTCAACATATCAAGCAGCACCCGCGGATCGGACGGCAGAAGCGGACCGGCCCAGGCAGGAGGTTTGAGAGAAGAGAAGAAGAGAAGGACGAAGATGAGACGACCGCTTCACCGCAACAAGTGAGCGATGCAGTTCAGCCCTTCCTTCGCAGCGCAGGTGGTTGTGTTGTCTCGCTCGTATCGAGTACGATCGCCGTGCTGTTTCTCTTACTAAGGAGGCGGACCGGGGGGGGCAAAGCTGAAATTGGGCGTTGAAGCCAGGAGCAGCGCTGAAACACGGCGATCAAATAGATGAATATGAATATTACGGAGGAAGAATATGATAGAGGATATGGTAGAGATGTAAGATGTAAGAGTAGAAAAGGAGAGACAGGCAGAGGAAAAAGGAGGCTGAAGCAAGCGAGATGTCTTGAACTAGCGCGCGAGGCCGGCGGCTTGACCAGTAGAAGAAGAAGCGAGGAAAGCCGCGGGCGTTGGCGTCCATCGTCCAGTGTTGATGCTCGGCGTCGGCCTGACAACAGCCTGGCGACAGGGTTGGGTTATGGAGCAACGGCTATACTACACCACAACTAAGGCCAGTAACATAACTTAGTTAAGTGGTGAGTATAAGATAGATAGATGATGGATGGAGAGGACGGAGATGGGGATAGCGATGGGCGGGTCAGACGCCGGGGGGGCGAAGATCGTGATCACCGCGATGAGATGAGACGAGAAGATGAGACGAGATGAGACGACGAGATGAGATGAGATGAGATGAGATGAAACGCCTGAAGGTCATCATGTTCATGAAGAAGTCGAAGAAGTAGAAGTAGAAGAAGAAGAAGGGAAGAGCAACCGCCCAAAAGACCAACTTTTTAGCATACATACATACAGCCATGAAGATAGATGAAGATAGACAGAGAAGAAGACATAGGAAAGACATCATCGTAAGAAAGTGAGTAGAAAGTAAAAACTACTCGACCTCCTCAGCGGACCGGGAGGAGGCAGTCGTGAGCACCGCCGGCGGAGAGGCAGCAGACACCGCAGACACAGCAGTGGTAGCAGCAGTAGAGTCCTTGTCTTTGGCGTCTGCTTTACGGCCTCTGTCGAGCCATCGTCGCTTGCCCACGCGAGTCTCAAAGTAAGGCGCTATCTCGCTGGTCTCATGGCCGGCCGTCAACATGCTGTTTCTCATCTTGTTGCGATACGCGTCCACTATAGAAGTTAGTTAGCAAGATCATTCTCTAGCATAGAGTAGAATAGAGTAGTATAGAGTAGAAAAGGTAGGCTTACTTGATCGTTGTAGGAAGAGCATCCTGCCCGCAAAGACTCTACTCTGCCCCCAGCTCATGCGATACCCCATATCATTAAGCAGCTCTTCTCTCTCTTTCTTCGCCCTCGTCAGACGCGGGACAAGCACTTCTTCTCCCTCCAGCATGGCCATAGGCACACTCGTCTTCCCCGCCGTGACATCTTCGTCTGCGTCTGCACTGCTACTGCCCGCAACCAGTCTGCCCGCGGGCTGCGACTCATCGTCGTCATTCATGAACCGATCCCCCTTTCGGCGGTGGTGAGCAAACGGTGAATGGACGGGGACATATGTGCGAGGGAAGACGGAGTTGGCCTTGCGATATGAGTCCGGGATCTCTTTCATGTCTACCTGGTCGAGCATGACCTTGACGCGCACCCTGCATGAACGCTGCGGATCTTCGACGAGAATGAACTTGCGTCGTTTGCCCTCGGGTAGGTCTTTGAATTGTTGCTGGTGGTGGGAGGAATGGTTGGGGGTATCATCTTCTGCTGCGCGTTTGTCGGCGGTGGTGGTGGTGGTTGCTGAAGAGGCTGGGGGGTATGCTGGGTATGTAGAGCCGTTGAAGACATGGGCTGGTCTATCTGTGTATGTTGGTGGTTGTTGTTGTTGTTGGTGTTGGCGGTACTGGGCTGGGGGGTGAATTAGCTTGGTTTACTTTTGAGGACATGGACATGGTCATGGACAGGGACAAGGATGGCGGACAAGGGAGAGACAAGGATATGGATATGGATGGATGGTTGTATGGGTATATAGAATGGGAATTCGGCTGATAGATACACAGCTCAAATACAGTCACTCAATAGATAAGCATAAACATGAAGAGAAGAAGATGAAGATGAAGATGAAGAAGAAGAAAACCTTTTCCCTAGCTCCCAAAGTCCCAGCACTCCTTGTCCGGCCCGCTCCAGCATACATGACACATAAAAATAATCACAAGAAGAGAAGAAGTAGAAATAGATAGTGAAGAAGAAGTAGAAGTGAAGTAGAAGAAGTAGAGTGGTTACATCTGCTGAAACATACCGCTAACATTGACGTCCTCTGCATGGCTCTCATGCGGCTGATGCGGCGGCAGACCCGGCAACGGCTGCTGCTGAGCCTGTTGCTGCTGAGGATGCTGCTGTTGCTGGTGCTGGCTGAGATGCGAGGCATGCTGGGCCACCGCCTTGCGATTATTCGCCTTAGCCATGCGCTTGACTCTCCGACTCCTCAGCCGCGGGTCCTGGTGCGAGTTACGCCAGCTGTCGACCGCCCGCTGGATGAGCCCTCTCTTGCCCCTGAGACACGGGTTGAGCTCTGCCAGCGCCCATCCGACGGCGTTGCACTCTGTTTCGTAGACGAGCCTGTTGCCGCGGTACTGGTCCTTGGTGCAGCAGGCGCGCGGGTAGACGCAGTTCTCGGTCTTGAAGTCCTGCGGCAGGGTTTCAATGTTGATGTTCTCGACGTCGCAGCGGATGGTGTATTCCATCTTGACGCGGTCGCGGGAGTACTCGAAGGCGATCCACTGGACGCCGTTTGTGTCTTGCCGGACGACGAGCGGGGTGGTGGCCGGGATGGGCCCCGGAGCGGCGCCGGAGTTTGTTGTTGGCGAGGAAGAAGTCTGGGGCCTGCTCTCGAGCTTCATGCGCGGGCTGACCTGCGATGGGCCCTGGGGAGGCTGCTGCTGAGGATGTTGTTGTTGTTGCTGAGGATGTTGCTGGGGGTGTTGTTGTTGGTGGTGTTGCTGCTGGTGAGGCATCTGGGGCATGGACGCGGAGACGGGGCTCATCATCATGCCCTGGGTCTGCGGAGGATGCTGCTGTTGATGTTGCTGGTGGTGGTGCGGCGGCGGCGGCGGAGGAGGATGCTGCTGGTGTGGTTGTTGATGTTGCTGGTGAGGCTGCTGCTGCTGCTGCTGGTGATGCTGGTATGGCGGGAGGGAGCTCATGGGCGAGTACTGGGGGTAGGCAGCGGCGGCGGTGGCGTACATGCCGAGGGCTGGCGGTTGGGCGTAGAGAGAGCGGCCATGCTGGTCCTGCTGGGCGACGGAGGAGGCAGGGTGGTAGATGGGCGGGTAGGGCCGCTGCATGTGCGCCGTCGCCATGATAGAGAGATGATAGAGAGAGTAGAGAGAGTAGATAGATGGTAGAGAGTGAGGTGGTAGAGAGAGTGAGGTAGTGAGAGTAAGGTGGTAGAGAGAGAGAGTGGATGTCTGGGTATGGTATCGGGGACGGGGAGACGAGGGAGAGCTTATAAGGACAGAAAAAAGCAAGCGAAGAAGGTCGAAGGTCGAAGTAGAAGTGGAAGAAGAAGTGGAAGAAGAAGCAGAGTGGAAGAAGGATAAGAAGTGGAAGACTAAAAGAGGGGGAGACTAAAGAGGAGAAGAAGGTTCGGAAGTCAAAAGGGGATCAACGCGCGCCCCGAAGATCTAGAAGAAAGGCGTTGTCATGGGCGGGCAGAGAGAGCAAGGGCAAGGGCAAGGGCTAGGGAAGGGAGCAGGCAGGGCAGGGCAAGGGTGAGACAGTAGCAGCAGAAGAAGAAGAAGAAGCAGCAGTAAGAAGAGAGAGAGTAGGGGGAGGGAGAAGTTGCTTTTTTTTTCTCATGGTTGCTTTTTATTTACTTTTTTTGCTTTTTTATTTTTTTTTTTACTTTTTTACTTTTTTACTTTTTGCTGTTGCTTTTTTGCTTTTGCTTATTTTACTTTTACTTACTCCGTACATACGAAAACGAGTCTACTCTCGATTACTCTCTACTCTTATTACTCTCTCTCTACTCTTTTTTTGGCTTCTACTCTACTTCTACTACTCTATTCTCTATTCTCTATTCTCTTCTACCTTCTATCTTCTCTTATCTGCTCAACTCCTTCCTTCTTGAGAAGTCGGAGTCTTCTTCTTCTCTTTCTCCTTCTTCTTCTTCCTTTTCGACTACTTCTACCCTCCTTCCTAATCCGACTTCCTCCACGCTTGGCAACATGTCTTGGCAAACAAGGAGATGCTTCCTCTTTAGGTTAGAGCTCCCGAGGGGATCCACTCTTCCAGAAGCAGACAGTGAAAGTTTAATCGAGTAGAGAGAAGCAGACATTAGAGAGAAGACAGAGAGAGAGTAGAAGAGAAGAAGAGAGAAGACAGTAAGAGAGAAAGTAGAGTAAGGGAAGACAGTAGAGAGAGGAAGAAGAAGAGAAGGCCACTCACCACTTACTTCTACTTCCTTTACTCTTTACTCTACTTCCTCTACTTACTCTACTTCTACTTCTCTACTGTCATCTCTTAATAATACTTCTCTCTTAATGCTTCTACCAACCCAGCGCCGATCATGCAGGCAGTCCTTATGTAATGCCAACCCAGTCAACCTTCTCCTCTGAACCACTCCCCACCTTACTCTCTCTTCTTCTTACTCTCTTCTTACTACTCTTAACTAACTACTACAAAGTAAGTACTGACTGGCTCCTCCACCTCCATCCGCCCGCCCATCCCTAAGCGAGGTTCCCTTGTCCCCTACGGAGTACTTACTTTACTCTTTAAAGTCCCTTAACCAGGCACACTAGTATCACTCCTGCTCCCTGCCCGAGCTCCAGACAGGCACGATGCTTGTTTCGTATCCCTCCCTCCACCCCCCTTCGTATCATCTTACCTTGTTACTCACTTACTTGTCTGCTTGTCTGCTGTCTGCCAGAGACGAACAGCAAAAAAGAAAAGAAAAGAAAAGAAAGAGGACAGCGGCTAGCGTCGAACATCACCTTCTCTTCGAACCCGCTCAGCTCCTTGTCTTCCCGCGCCATCCCTGCCCACACCACCCTTATACCACCGTCTGATAAGCGCTCTCCAGGATGTTTCACCTTCAACTTCTTGCTCAGTACTTTCATCTCATGCTAAAATACTCTTACTCTTACTCTTACTTTTCATATACTCGGTCGAGTCCCCGCACCCGCATCTCCCTGGCCGTCCACTCTGGCTTAAATATCCGGCCGCAGGGTGGGGAGGGGGGAAGGGGGGGGCCAGCCAGGCCAGCAGGATCAGGATCAGGATCAGGATAATTTCTCTCTCTCTCTCTCTTTTTCTCGTTGATACTCTCTTCTGTCGGCTAGATTTGCTTTTTCTCTCTCTCTCCGACTGACTGACTGACGGACTGCAATATCATTCTTCTAACACTGGTGTGTCAGTGAAGACCTGGCTGTCTCTGCATCTCTCTTCCTGTCTGCATTGCATCGTCCTGTGTAACGACTCAAACCTCCCATTCGACAGGCGACTTTTCCCCCTCGTCACACCCTTCTTCTTCCTCTCCCTCTTCCATCGGCTATTCAAGTACTCCCTCACTAAACACAGTAAGTAGTAAGTAGTATGTAATAATAATGCCTTTAACTCCTTTCTTTTTCGTCTGCTTCGCCTCAAATCGCCTGATAGAGTTAATATCCTGCATTAAACAATACACCACACACACATACACACACACACACACACAACACTTACGATAGCCCATCAACCACTCACCTCGCTCTCTTTCTCTCGTCTCGCTGTCAATCTCATCTCGTCTCGTCTCGTCTCTCGCTCTCCCGCAGGCCACTCCCGTCCACCCGCAGCACACTAGTGCATGTCGTGGTTTATGCTATGCTACATTATATCCCCTTTCCTCTTCCTCTATGTACGTACAGACGTCCTTCCTGGGCTGTTCCTCGTATCGATCTCAGCCTGCGTCGCACTGCCTGGCGCTCTTGTACGAGGCCGGCCCTCCCCCAATCCCTCGCCCCCTTTATTTCAACTCTCTCTCTCTCTCTAGTTACTCATCTAACTAAGCCTAAGCGAAGCCGCTTTCGGATAGATAGTCGCTGGCTGTTATGCTTAACCTGTTCATCCCCCCGACCGACCGTCTCTTTTTTTCCTACCCAGACCCAACTAGTCATTTTACTTAGTGTCCTTTTACTTAGGGGGAGTTTAGGAGCTGGCTGGGTGGTTCATGCTTTAGTGCGATAAAATACTTCCGGAAGTTTCGTGGATGGGCTCCGTCTTTCCACTGAGGTTCAATCAAGGGTCTGCGGTCTGCGGTCTGCGGTCTGCGGTCTGCTCGTTCTGCTTTGCTTTGTGTCCGGCTAGCTGGCTGGCTGGCTGGCCTGCCGTCCTGTCTGCCTGGCGATCCTGGGACCAGTCGTACAAAAACGGTTGGCCAGCAAGTAGACAGCAGCATCACTGCATCAATAACACAGTAAGTCATACTCCGTAGTCATCACACAGTGAGATGCAGGTAGATGTATGTGTATGTCATGTAAGTAGATGTAGGAAAGAAAAGGTAAGGTGATCCCTGAGCTTCTCCAGACTCGCAAGGAATCGACATG